AATAGTAAAAAACCTTGAAACAATCATACCTTGTTGAATGCTGAATCAGAGACGATCGAGCGGCCAGCATAAAAATTATGTGCAAGTTGACCAGATGTGAACTGAACCTGAAGCACAACAAGAACACAACACACCAACCAACAACAGGACAATTTTAGACCACAAAACATTTTTAGATCTTCACGCAACGAAAACTTAAGTCTGTTTGAACGCTTCCACGATGCGATCCTCTTTAAATTTACACGCATGTATTAATTACACAAACGTTAAACTGTCACAAACACGTCAAAAATATTAACACAGTAAGATACGGACGGAAGTTTTCATTGAGAAAAAGAAACATGGCGAGTTTAATTTCCCCACGTTGCCTTTAAATTGAAATAATTTCTGTTCTTTTTTCTTTCCTCTTTCCTTTCAAATGCTGTAGCGTCTCAGTAAGACGTCGAGAAAGGAAATATCTCAAAAGTGAGTGAAACTAAATAAATCAAATGAATTTAGTATGTAATAATCAAAAGTGACAAAAGCTATGGAAATTCTACATCGGGAAACTTTTTTTTTTTAAACTAGGCATTTAAACCTGTGTAAATTCGATTGTAAGTCTTGAAAATAACAGGTTGAAAAAAAAAATGTATATTCATATCTGGCATCCAGGCTTCATATTTGTTTGCCACGGACTCAAATTCATTAAATTAATTTTTGAGAGTTGACTTTAATATTCCTTTATTTTTCTAATTGTGGAATTCTGGAACAATTAAGATCTAGTCTAGACTTCCGGAAATATGACATGAAAAGTTTAAGGAAAGAAAAACAATTCTCCAGAAAGTTGATGAGTTGACATTAACAATCTGCTGACTAAACAGTTTGAAGACAATTTATGTGGGTGTTAACGTGCTAGCATGAGGCGAAATATTACTTGATCCTGGTCATCCTAAAGTGACATTTTGTTGCATTAAGGGGGGAGGGGCAAGGCTGTTTTATTATCATAAATTATAAGGCTTTTTGGAAAAGACAGTAGTCTATCAATCCTTGGACACCACCAACCCCTACTCCCCCTCCCTCCCCCCCCCCCCCCACCCGATACGCAACCATCATGCAGTTATAAAATTTTAAAACAATTGTAGAGTTTCGAAGATTGATAGTAGATTTAATGGAAGTCCGGACGACAGGCTGATCAAATATTTTCTGCTTTTCAGTGTTTGACTGAACTGACCCCGCTGTATACACAACTCATCGTGATTTCACTTCAATTTAAAATTTTTATTTCTCATTTCAATCAGTTTTCACTGTAGTAACTATAATTAACTATAAGGTTACATGTGGACTACAATCTTCCTAACTTGAGGAATCTAGTTATCATTATCAGCGTCTCTTGCGAAGTTTCGTCCACTGGAAACACTGTTGAAATAACTGTGCAGAGTTTTTCCCAAGCGGTGAACTGGTCTTGCCTCATATTCTCCCGGGGTCCTCTCATATTTGTTCATGTAGTCTGCGCCTCTCTTTTCGTCATTTCGTACAGTTTTCTAAAAGATGAAATGAAGGTGTTTGTTAGTAAAAAAAAATCCTTACGTGGAATGTACGATCTTTCAGGAAAATGTAGTGAAATAAGCAGACTGTTTAATTCTCCACCCAAAAAAAGAGAAAAAAACAATTGGGAAATGAAATATTAGGGTCAGGTTTTGGAGGGATGAAAAAAAGACGGGAAAAAAAGTATCAAGACTGAACCAAAAGTTCTCGAAAGCAGAATTCATTTTTTAAGCCTTGGAATTTGGGTGAAAGTAAAGCGATTCGTTGCATATAATATATTGTTTCGAGTTGCCAGTCTTACAAGCTTCCGATTTGCAAAAAGTTTACCACTTCATGGGCACGGAAGGAATTAATTTAACAAGAGGAAATCTAATTAGCGCCAAAGTATGTTAGTACTTAGAGGTGTTTAAACTTACCTTTTGGACAAAAGATCCAGAATTAAAACTTCGTCCAGGCGGCCGGTAAACGCTTAACTGACAGAGCGTAAGTTGAAAGCAAAGGCAGAAAACAGCCATTAAACAGACTAGAGACCTCTTCATGGTTCTTTCTTCTTCGAAAAGTTCAGTAGAAGACCTGCTTTACAGTGGTTTAAATCTGAAAACTATTTAAAGTACTCTTTATATACGCTGGGCAATTCTATACGATGGCATGTCACCAACATGGTTCAAAGTTTGATAGTTGTATTGAATACAATAAAATTACTGACGCAGGACGAAGGAACAAAGCTAAGTCCCATGTGAGCAGGATTCAAACCGCAGTTCTTCCGATTTCGCTATCGGCTACCCTACTAACTAGGCCGGCAAAAAGTGTCCGTGAGTCGTAATAATTGAATAGATTTGTGAATTCAATTTACATGTCAACAGATTGAATTTTTATTGAAGTTGAGTTTGATAGTTTCAACGTGTCGACCACGTGGAAATTTCCTCCTACGTTTTCCGTTTCTTGGGGATTATTATTCATACCGCTATTCACTTTAATTTTAGACACTTTAGATTAGAATTTTACAAAGCGCCACATGGGTCCGGAACGCGGAAACAACTGATTTTGAGGGTAAGACCACAGTAACGTTGGGGTACAATTAAAATATTCAAACCGGAGATTCTCTTATAAAAGATATTAAGGAGAAAGGTATTGAGACAATTAAATTTTGTACTAACCTTTCAATAAAAGATCGCTGGATGTCTCGATTACTTAAGACGCAGATGATATGGAGTTGTGGTGACCTTATGAGAGTTGAGAAAGTATAGCAGCTTGGTGAGCTAAGCTCAAGATCGAGGTTAAGAATAAGGTTTGTATTTCGGATACCTAAGTACAACACACTAAATTTGGTCGAGTCACGTAATATATAAACTTGACTGAGATAAAATAACAGAGTTAGCAGAGACAAAAGATATTTTAGGCTTCTCTCGAAAGCCAGGGAAAATACGACGGGTGTTTAAAGCTATTAAGAAGAAATTTCAACTACTAGGCCTGGTTGACACTGGAAGATGAGTTTTGGGTTTTAGCCTTTTTCCGAGTCACGGTGCATGCTCGTAACGACCATTGCACATGTTGCGCATGTTTGCGGACATTCACATGTTCGAGTAGTCGTCGTCGTTGTTGTCGGAAGCTGCTTGAAATCTCCTCAGTCTCGGGCCTGTCCTACTCCTGCAGGGGGAACTGCTTGCATACAATGTAGGAAACGCTATTTGCGCAGATCGTAGCTATTATGAGGCCCATAGGGTATAGTGTTAAAATCGATTGGTAAAATTTCCTTTAATTCACGAACGACCATGTAGTTGCCACAACATTTACTGATTTGATTAATAATTGATTCCTTATTTACAGGGTCAGCGGGTGAGATGGCTTGAATTTTCCCTCTGTTGACAAACCAGCTTCAATAGGTCTGCTCTTGGACCCCTCGCCGACTGGCTTAATTGCGAAAAACGAAAGGAACCTGAAGCTGACAGCATGTAAGCGTGTCAGACACTGTGATCATTCGATAGACTGCAAAGCTTTGGACACAAAGTTAAGGCAGTGGATGAAATTTGATAGCTCGGGTCACTGAACGTAAGGAATCCTTTTGAAATTGCCAATCACCTTCGCCTTCTCTTCTTCACCAATTGAAAACAAACATAGACGCACACCCAAGCTACGTGCCATGGTTAAAACACAACGGCCCTGACTTGAATTACTGAAGTCGTTACATCCTTGCCAGGCGTAATTTCATTGTGTTGGAGTCTCCTCAAAAAAACAATCATTCAAGTTCTGATTTATTATGTTTATCCTTGACTAACAATCATAACACTCCGAGAAAAAAAGCCCCTATAGCTTGATAGTGTATCATTCAAACACACTGGGTTTAGTCGGGAACAATCAAAAAACCTTTCTTTTCTCTCTGATAAATGTTGTTGCCAGTACACAGCAAGTTCAGCCCCGGCGGCATTTAATCAATATTATTCGAACTATTTCCAAGCCCCAAAAAATGTTATTGATTGTGTAGTTCACTGAATGGTCATTTTGAATTACTTGTTGCATTTAAAAAGGTGCGACAAGACAGACTGTATTGTTTACACTGTAAATGAAACCTACTAAAAGTGGAAATGCTACGCCATAGCCTTGGACCTGTTTTTAAAAGTTTAAATTTCAACCGAGTTCTTCGTAGTATATTACTTGTTGCATTAATTAGCTCATTTTTATTTTAATCCAACTGATTTTGACGTGTATCAGTCCCTCTTCGTTACGTGAAATTAAAGGTTCACAAAACGACTAGAGAGCTCGTTTGTTGTTTGTTTGTCGTAAGTAACTAAGAAATTAATTTCTGTTTTTGGTATGTGGTGTATAACATACGTGAAGGCCACACTAAAATTAGCCCATTTTCATTTAAATTATTTGTCAAAAACAAATGCTATGAGCAGGAAAATCTGAGTAATTTCCGATGCAGTCTTTTTTTAATTAAAACTTCAAGCCAAATTATCTCGGCCTAAAGGAAGTGTTTACGATTAAATGCAGGCTATTTTGCTCAGCACAATTTTCCTGAGCGATGAAGCCACCAAAATATTTTATTCATCTATCCATAATGTGTGAGGGATAGTCATATGATTTTTTTTATATTTATTTTTATTTTGAGCATTAATTGAAGGCTGTAGCTAGATCATTTTTAATAGGATTCAAACAGTATTTTATTTACTCAATTTAAAAGAGGTGATATCAAGCCTCTTACTATCATTGGAGGAGCAGTTTTGGCAAATGGCAGATACTTACGTGGGTTTGATAGCAGGTCTCTTTTTAACGCTGCGAGTGAAAAAAATAACCGTAAAGAATTGAAAAAAAAAATCAGTACCTGTTCGCTAAAATGACATGAACAAACGAACTTGTGACAAAATGAAAACAGATCATTTTTCTGATCAATTAGAGATTCGACTGACTTTAATTTTTTCTTGAATAATTCGACAACCCGTCCATTTTTAATTTTTCAAAAAGGGTGCGACAGGACAGACGGTATTGTTTACACCGTGAATGAAACCTACTAAAAGTGGAAATGCTACGCCATAGCCTTGGACCTGTTTTTAAAACCGAGCTCTTCGTCCGTTTGTAGGCACTCTAAGTTATTGTACCATTCATTTCATGGTAGCTTTTGGCTCATAAGAACTGTAAACATTCCTCTCGACAGGTGTGAGAACAAAAGCACAGCAGTTGTTGGTAAATACAATAACGAACAGTGTTAATTACAAATTCGCACAAGCACACAAAATTTCAACGCGATGGATGTCTATTAAATTTGCGCAACTCAAACTTGTTCTGGACTACTCCTAATCAACTGGTCCTTCATCTACTAACTTAAAAGGGTAAGAGATTATGAACTTGTTCAAAACTTATTGCTTTGTCATAAAATCGAAGATCTTAAATAGAATTATGCATTCGTGAGGTAAAGACATCGATAAATTCGTGTCTCCACCATAACAACACCATAACTATGAGGATGGTTCGTTTGCCCAGTTAAATATGGCCATTTCCAACCATTGAGGCCTTGATTCTTGATGCGTCATCCAATTTCTAAATGTGCGTCAAATTTAAATTGTACCAAGCTGTAGTGTACTCACTGAAAACCACCAGGTTTGTCAGAAACTTACAGAATACCGCAGTGCGTGCTTAGCGCCATACTGTTTTTTCTTTTTTACAGTTAAATGCCAAGGTGAACATGAAGTTTCCTAGTTTTCTGTCTTTCTTACAGTCTTTGTATTTTTATGTGTCGGGTTTAATTCTTGTTATACAGAGATAGTTTTCTGACGTTCAAAATCAATTCTAAAATAAGATGAAATTAATAACGATCATGGTGATTTGGCATGTTTTATTACAGTTTGGCGTATACTACTTAAACGACAGCAACGGAGAGGTGCTTTCCTAGACAGTCCTGATTTTGGACCTCCAATACACATACGACTGTTGAGGTAAAATAGATTTATGCCATTTAAAACAGTACATTTCTTTGAAATTACAGCTTGAACACCAAAAAGCATTTCATTCTCGCTGGGTATTAGGCAAACATGAATTACAGTTTACAGATCTCTACTGCTACATTTCATTGTGCCATGACGTCGTGTATTTTATCTTTTGTTGAGAATTTTAATGATGTTCCCGTCCCACAGTGTGGCTATTATTTTCACGGTAAGCCTATTAAACTCAAGCCTACAAAAATCAAATTTTCTTTCACAAAGGTAACATACAGGGACTTAAAAAAGTAAAAATTTCAAAAGTTTACAACAAGTTGAATAATTATGGTAGCTAAATATAGCGAATGTTTATCAGATGTTAGAGAGAATATAAAGTTTTGAAATTTGAAGCCATGGCAACAGGCACGTGATCTTATGGTAATCACTTAATCTGCCGGCGATAAACAACATCTTTGAAATTAGAAAATGACTTCACTGACAAATTGATTGTAAATCAATGGACTTAATGTTTTGTTTGAACTGTCTTAGCAACATAGATTCATTAGATTTCCCGACTGCTGGCTTCCATACATAGTCATATCTTTCATGAACAAATATTTGAAAATTAAAAACAGATCGATTGGAGGACTTGTTTGTTTGAAGAGAAAATTTCCACGCTTTCGATATTTTGGTCATAAAGGTGTAAAATAATCATGGTCACGGGGTTGGTTGATTACACAGAAAAGATGAAAAGAGTGGGTTGCGATTCCGCGGGCCTCTGCCAATGGGTGCCAAGCGAGGCTGGGTTTATATGATTATATAATATTTCATTCAAATATGATTGCATCATGAGTCGAACAAATTGTTGTTTTTCATGTGAAATTAAAAAGAATCCATAGTTTGTTAACATATGGTTACAGCCGGCCAGATTTTCTCTGTGAAAGGGCTATACTGTACAACATTTGTAAAAATCCACAGAAAAATGCTAAGAACGAGAAAAGGAATCACCAGCACTAACGGTTTATTCAATTCCTGCCAGGAAAAGACAAATTAAATGTCTAACGACCTCTTAATAGCCGCACGTTCTATTTACTTTGTGGATGCTAATGTGTGAGTGCAATCGTTCGAAAACATCCGGTGGATGGAACTTAATCATCATCTGCCATACAATGGTTGGACATTTTGTACCTCTGATGGCTTTTTGAAAAACACAGCCAACTGCAGAGGATATCCAGCTAACAACAAGACAAAAGACCCCCTGTGTTAACTGTTATATTGCTTGGAAATGAGAGTTATGTCATTAATTTAGATGATCATCAAAAAGTTCCTAGACCTCTATTGTCCAGATGACTTCTATTGGCGAAGCTCTATTATATCATCGTTGACGTTTTCCCCTCAACAAATTAAACCAACTTCATTAGAATCCATAATTGCGTGATAGGGCCCTGCCTTTTAAGTCCTGTAATTTTCCATAAACTCCGATCTGATGACAAAAAAAGGGGAAACAGCATATTAGACGCTAATTCTCGTGGTAGAGAGTCGCTTTTCTTTTTAGTATAACATTAGTTGCGTCGCTCTCTCTGATGTGCGTGGTGCCTCATTATATAAAGCAGAAATTGCTGCTCAATAACAGCTAACGAGTTATTATACCAAGGTGTTACAATGTGCACTTTAGTGGCTGATGGTGTTGTTATTACGGGGCACTAAATACATGCAAAACTGAGCTTTTACAATGAGAGCGACAACGAAGAAGTCCGAGGCTCAAAAGCACAAGAGGACTCACTGAATCACTTTGAGAACTTCTGTAAGACACAATCTTATAATTCCACGAGAATTTTTTTATTTTTGCCATGATGAATCGCAAAATATGGCTGGGTCTTACAATGCCGCAGATTTTAGTGTGGCGATTAACTTTGTTTTAAATTCGCTTTCCAGGACAGACAGAAAGAGGGTATTCTCTAACATCCAAACTACCAGGATAAAAAGCCAATGAAACTATGGAAATGGAAGAATTAAAAGCAGTACAACAGAAAAGAGATAACTGCGTGAAAGAAGTAAAGGAAGTATGGAAATCAGAAACAGATGAAGCTACGCGTGTCATCAAAGACTTCAGCGGCTATACCACCCTGCACGGTTTTCATTTTGTCCTGGACTCTGCCTCCCGGATACGAAGGATTATTTGGATCACATTGATTTCCCTGGGCATATGTGCTCTGTTCTTCCAGTTTCGAGACAACTGGCGCAAATTACGAAGTTACGAAAGCGTCATTGGCAAAGATATTGAACATGCTGAGAAGCTTTTGTACCCTGCAATTACTATTTGCAACCAGAATATGATGCGAAAAAGTAAAATTTTGGGAACAGACGCGCAAACATTTCTAGACCAACAAGATCATGTAAAGTTGCATATCTTGGGGAATAAACTCTTGGAAGAAAAGACGAGCCCTGACTTTGATCCTGGGGAGAGTGTGATGAAGCACGGTCACAACTTATCTGAGATGATGAAAGACTGCGAGTGGAAAAATCAACCATGCACTTCTGCTAACTTCTCCTCTTTTATATCTTTCATGGTGAGGTTTATAAATTTTGTGATTAGCTTATTGGTTTGTGAATTCCTTCCAACAGAGTGGTTTCTCTCGAGTGAATCAGTTGACGAAGTGTCACTAGCATTCCGCATTAGTATTTTAAAGGGTAATAAATTTTTTTAATTGAAGCTCATTCTTGTCTATGATATCGTGTGTTAACATTTGTTCTCTGTTTTTTATTCCGCAAAACAACAAAGGAATACAGGGTACAAAAAAAAGCTTTTACAGATACAAAAAGAACTATTCTACGTCAGTCAGTTTTTCCTAAGACTGAGAAAATAAAAGGATTTTCTACCTACAACTGGGTGAAATCGTTTGCTTTTGTTGCTATAAGAGAACCATTGAGTGCATTTTTGAGGAAGAGAGGGAAAGAGGGGGAAATAATCTAGACTATTTAACTATGTAAATAACACCATTTTTCTGCTTTCAGCGGGGGGTGTGCTATACGTTTAATTCTGATCAACGGGGTCACCAAAAGCTTTATGTGACAACATCAGGAAAAGTGCAAGCCTTGTCACTTTACTTGGATGCACAACCCGAAGAGTATTACGGGCCATACAGCTACGACGCAACAGGTTTTAAGATTCTGATTCATGATCAGAAGGACTTGTATCCAAACATTGAAGACCTCGCTTTGGATATTACTCCAGGGTTTACCACAAACATACGCGTGCGCAGAAGCAAGGTTGGTACAACCAAGTTTCCTGTATAGAGGACTAAGCCTTCTTTACCTTTCAGACATCTCACTGAGCTAAGCAATGTGTTACCCATGTTCTGTGTCTTACAGATCGCTGCGATCAGCAATGCCCAAATTACGCAATGTACTACAATGTATAATTATGTCACTGATCAAGTTTTAATTGTCATTTAAGATGGTGAGTCTTCCCGCGCCATTTAAATCCGCCTGCAGTGACAAGAACTTGGCAGCTTTCAAAATGTACTCACAGTACGCATGTCTATTGGAATGTTACACCAACATAACCTATGAAGAGTGCGGTTGTCGACTGCTATCTATGCCTTCATTTGGTAAGCAATATGCTGTTTAAGATGATGCTAATCCCCGAGAGATACAGATCAAGTAATCAATCAAATAAGGAGTTAAACTTATGTTCAAGTTAAAAATTTTAATATTCCAACAGGTGAGAACAAAACGAGATATTGCTCTGCAAAGGAAATCTTTACCTGCGTCTTCCCAAAATATGGTAGGTGAAAGCTTTTGACACATCAGGAAACGCGCATCTCACTCACTCTTCCACTAACTCAGAGGTAAACAATAAACATCTTTACAAAACATCACTAGCTCCCGAAGAGCGTTATCGCCACACTCTCCAAAGTAGTGTCACAGTTCAAAAAAACATATTTCAAATGCACCCAGGTGAATAAGAACTTCCGATATGGTTATCCCAACGGTATGTATACGAATGCTTTACTCTCTTACCTCTCTGTTTAGGTAAATTTAATCCAAATAGTTGTGCCTGCCCTGTGCCATGTACGGAGATACGCTATCATGTCCAGGCCTCCATGGCGTACGCTCCGTCAAATCACTTATGGGAGACAATATTCCCAATGTACAACATGTCAACTAATAACACAGAGAAAGTTGTCGAGTTCCAGAACTACATCAGGTAACAAACGCGACATTACATTCTTACTTCCGGGAGTCCTAAAATCAAGAATCTTGAATATCACAAAACATAATTGGATACTTGTACTCCAACAAGACCTGCCCGTCGGTGAAGGTTTTTTGTGTGAGTGTCAGTCCAGACTTACTTCAAAGCGTTTGGGGCATAGTTCGATCTTTATCACTGAAGAGATGTTTTCAAGGACTTCATTAAAACTTCATACAAATAAAAATGTTATCATTAGAATAAGATGGTAAAGTTTGATAGTCGCACGATATAGAAGTCTCGTGCTGAACGCTGTACGGAGTTCTTATGAAAAGTTCTCAATTAAGCTTAAGTACTATGCGACGTACTTATTTGACCAAACCTAAAGATGTTTTTGTATCGTTACATCCGTAGGCAAAGAATGGCTCAAGTAAACATTTACTACGAAAGTCTGGACACTGAAGTCACGAAGGAGAAACCCGCGTATGATTTTAATGATTTTGGATGTGAGTAATGTTTCTAGTTACGTTCTGAACTCAAACATATCTTGGTAAAGGAATACATTGGCTGACGGTGTCTTCCTTACAGAACTTGCAGCAAGCGCACATTCATTGAGGCGCAGACTGGCGCCATGAGTTGCCGGAGAATGATATCTGTATCACTGTCGCGCATACGAATACAAAACGTACAAACATCACGTAACAGCCAAATCTAAGGGTCGGGTTCACAAGTTGGCATATTTTCGTGGACATGGGCCTCCGCAGCGATGGAGGAGCTCCATTACAATATATAAATATTATATGAATAATTTTTGTTGTCTGTTTTCCTCTCTAGCGGACGTAGGAGGTAACATGGGATTATTTCTCGGCTGTAGTCTGCTGACTTTGTGTGAATTCGTTGATCTGATTGTGATTATGTGTCTTCGTTGCTGGCGAAAGCGGAGAACTGTAGACCTCAAGACAGATCCATATCAGTGAAGAATTATTTTGCTTATTCAAAAACTGCTTAATGACTCGACAGGTAATAAATATTTACGCTTATGGATTGAAGAAAATACTGAATCAGAAAACGCGAACACAAATCAATTCAGCCTCATGATTAAATTGTTTGAGTACCTTTCTTGTCTGCGCACTGAAAACGCGATCCATATAAACTGATCGATGTTTTTTTATATATTTATTTGATAAACGTGATAAAAAAGCAAAATGTTGTTTGATAGTGACGTTATCTATGCGTCTGTCCTACAATAGATCATAGTCAAAGCCGATCAAAACGCGTATATAAACTAAATTAAAAACTATATTGTAACTCGAGAAAACACCCTATCATTTTGCAATTGAGTACTTTCTGCCATCGTTAATGAAAAAAGAGGTTAGATTTAGAAAGATCTAGAAAGTTGCACTTTGCTCATCAGCTTATGAATATCCGTAAAAGCTTAAATCTGATTTATTCAAATCGATGCTGATTAAAAGTGGAGTGCTAGGTTCAGAGGTCGTTAATGTCATAGCGAATGATAACCCTTCATATTAGATTTGTTTTTAGACTTTTTTTGTATTTATTAGAAAAAAAGGAAATAGAGAGTATCAGTACTGATACTGATACTGATACAGAACGTTTTAGTCAATAAGGGATTTCACAGTCGATTTCATGATTGGATTCTAGTTTAAATTTACCTTTTCTTTCTTAATCATGCATTATGTGGAAGGTTTGTCTGGGATAGCCTTAAACTCACCACAATATCATAATAGTTGAACAAACACACCCGTAAAAAAAATTCTGGGAAAAAGATGAACTGTTTTCATGTTTAGGACCAAGGAAACGACAGTGCATGTTTTCGCTGGCATAATGTTAAGCGAAATTCTGGGTGAGAATTAATTAAATTAATTAAAAGTTCGTCACTCAGTTTAATTCAGCGCAATATTAAATAAAAATGCTTATCACTTTGAAGTACCTCTTGTGTAACATGCACTAAAGCAACCGAAACAACCTACACCAACAACGCAAGAACAGATACAGAACAGGGCAAACTGCTACATCATCCTAAGACTACCGTGGAAAAAAGGAATTATCTGGTGTAACAGCAACCACAAAAGTCAGAAGACTTTAAAAGTAACTATCAGTCTTAGTTTACATACATTTCCAAAATGGCACTTTCCACTCCAATACTAATGAGTAAATGATACACCACTCTCTCTTACAAATGTGTGTGGTCCAATTATGCACTAAATACTTTAACTAGTGAACTTAAGTGATGCCGGATTTCTTTGTCAGTGCATAGTACACTTGCTTGCCCTGATAGCTTAAGCAAATCTTGAAGTATAACGACTCAAGGATGAGGTCAGCCATTGCAGGTGCAATCAACAGAACCAACCTTTTTCCATAAAAAAAGATAAAAGCCTTAGGGGACCATTCATGCCTCATGTAACCCACAACTAACACTACTACCTTAATTGTTGTTTTTAAAGTTTATGTGATTGAGGCGACTTTCAGTATTACTACTCACCCTCAGGGTCTCCACTTTCCCGCACCTGCACAAGAGGACTCCCATATGACATGTGATTCCCCTTAGCCCCTCGACAAAATCATTTACAAAAAAATAAGGCTGCCTCCCACTTCCACGAAGACTCTGATGTAGAAGCCACTCCCCCCTTCCCCCAACAACAACTAAATAAACAATGACAGAGCCAATGAGTTATTACAAAATATTTAATCGATCATTATGGCTGGCCAAAACAGAGTGAGGACAACCTCTCGTCTAGTGATTATTTCTCCAGTGATTGCCTGGTTCAATATCACTTTCTGGACATAATGTGATATCTTATCGAGTATATTAATTGTTCCCCTGATTTAAGTACATGCCCTTACACGCCGGCTAAGCCAGTGATGATAATTCTGAAAAACGTCACATCTGTATGTAGTTGAGTGATAGGCAATGAAACCTTCTCACTTCCTTTTCTTCATAAATTACGATTACAGAAGTGATTTTAAACCTTTATGGCATGGATGGATGATTAAGTTCTGTATAAAATTCGATGAATAACTTTAACCCCCAAAAATCATACGCATTTAGATGGAAATAAACCGAACGTGCGTGATGAGTTACTGAAATGCAACTTATTGGAAACGGCACGTGTAGACCAACATTCTCTGGAAAATAACTCAGGTTCCATCATTTCATCGCTTGAAACTAGTTCCAATTAAGATTTGTGAGAAAGATGTGAATGCAGTGAGGTACGAAGTTGCAAGTCACGTTTGAGCAAGAAAGATTCCATATAAATGTAGATATCGTATACAAGCCATGAAAACTGAAAAAGATAAAAAATAATCATGTTGTTTTGCGACACATTACAACAAATTTGATTATGAAACAAAAACAATTGATAATTTGATTGAAAAAAAAAACAGAAATGTGATAGAACTGTTCGTATAAACCATCCATTATCGCAGACTTGATTTTACAGCATATTGAGATTCAGCTATCACAAACAGGGCTAGAGGAAGCCAAAATCAGAGAAGCAGACGTAGAGTACTTTTAAGTTGCTTCCTGTGGCGACTGCGTCGGCTCCTTGACTGAGCAAGTACGATCGTTTGCTGCTACTGCACTTTTAGCAGCCGTGCTTGGAGATAAGCCAATGACTTTTTTTTCATCTTTCACAATCTCTTGAGAATGTACACCGTTATTAGCGTGACCAATCAAAGGTCTCCCAGTGTCTTGTGACACTGGATTGTCACGCAAGGGTCCACCACTTATATGAACCGAGAGTGTGCCATTTTCATGCTCTTTGTCATTTACACGATGTGACTCTTCTGGAGACTCGACGTGTGTACTGTTGCTTGACAGTAAAACAGAATCACTAGTGAGTTTGCTTGCACTTTTGGCAACTCTTTTTGAAGATAATTCTGTTTCTCTGTCGTTAGGTTGATGTTGTGTTAACACATTTGCTGTGTTGCCGTCTCCAGTTTTACTGCAGCCTGGTTTCTTTTGCTGTTTTTCGAGTTCTCTGCATGGAAGATGTTTGGTCAGGCAAATTCTCTGGTTAAATGTTTTGCTGCAAGTGTCACATTTGTAAGGTTTTGCGTCGGAGTGAATATAGCTGTGCTCTTGTAAATGGTGCTTCCGTTTGAATGCTTTACCGCATACCTAAAACAAACGATTTCCTCCATTTGTTATCGTTACAACGATTACAGTAAAATCCCTTAGGATTGACAAATAATCATCAAGTCGCTTCGGAGTAAAAACCATGTGGGCAAAGTGTAACTTATAGAAAAGAAAACCGTTATGCTTATTCTACAGGCATTCACGATACAACTTAAATGGATAAACGTAGATCAATCATGGACTGACAAATCATTATCAGGTCGCTTCGGAGTAAAAACCAAATGGGCAAAGTGTTTAACTTATAGAAAAAACCTGTCATGCTTTATCGACGGGCATTTGAGACACCAGTTGCTTATAACTAAAATGGATAAACATAGAACGATCGCGGAAGTCGCGAATTCTGAAAAGCTGACTTTCGAGTTTTCGGTCTTCGTAGTTTGGGTTGCTAGTGTTCAGAGATCAGGGTAATGATACAGTTTTGCTATTCGAGTCAGATAGTAACGGATGATTAAGAAATAAATCTTGAGAAATAAATAAACTATCAGTAGTTGATTTTGAGAGAGCTCAGGTGCCGTTTTTTATCTGAAGTTTCGCGACTTTCAGATATGGCTGGCTGGTGAGAAGCTGCCCAAACAACTCTGTTTGGTTTGCAATCTTCTCAAAGTGATTGATAGGTTTTACAACCTGCAACCTTTTCCTCATCCCACGGTGGCACTATGAACGTTACCAATGAACAGTGTTCTGATCTGTCACGTGATAACACCATCAATAAAAAGTAATAATAGGGATAGATTAGGATAGAGACACTCACGAAGTCTGTATTACTTTAGACTTCAGAAAGTCTAAGGTGCACCCCAGTCGAAAAACTTAGCAGTGAAACCACTTGGTTGTGCCTCATGGTTTAACATCAGTTTTGAACTATTTAGATCTCATTTCTAAGATCAATGAGAGTATTGGAGAGCACATTGGTGGGAAAATTGTGGTTGACTCATTAACCTGATTGTTATGGAGGGACTGACTAATTTGAACTCACAATACTTATGAATGGACTTGTGCAGGACTAGGAATGTACCACTTTACCCAGTAATAAAACTAATTTAAGATTGTACCATAATCCTTTTCACAAAGAAGACGTGTGTTACCTGACATGCATAAGGCCTGTCACTTGTAGGGCAACCCTTCTTTGTGGACACCTGGTTAGATGGAGCTGGAGGTAACTTCTGTGGTGTACTCAGGGAATGTTGCCTTGTTACATGTTGCTTTAGGCCACTACTTTTTCTGAATGACGATTCACACTGAGAGCATTTGAAAGGTTTCTCATCTGAAATTTTACAAGACAAGAATATTCTCAAAATTGTGCACAGCTGTTGCTACAAATTATTATCTTGTGGGACTAACAAAACATGTGTGAGTAAATGCTTAAAGATGTTGATGTCACAGAGTTCTATAACAGACAGCTAAAAAAATAACATGTTTGCTGATGTTAGAATATACTATCACAGCTCAATAATCTACCAGGCTTTGCCACATGCCACAGCAACATATTTCAGGGAATATTTGCAATGTGAGACAAAAACATTGTGTGAAATTATTGCTTCTTGCCTCAGAATTTGTCCCTGCAACAAGTCACAGAAAAACAAGCTGGTGGTCCAAGCTATAGCATGAGTAAAAACAATTTGTGTGAAGAGGGCTGCTACACAAGGGAGTTTGTTGGAAAGTATTAGGGCAGCAATTTGTTTAAATGTTCACTGTCACTTATAAATGTTGTTTGGAGTCAGTATTAAAAGTAACTAAGAAACTGTGCATCAGAAGTCAATCTGAAGAACTAGCAGATGGGATTACCCACATCTTACCATTTGCTTTGTTGTCACTTTGTGAAACATCTGCGGTACCTTCTTTAGAGATGTTTATTTTGTCATCTACAAACCAGATCAATTTCAAAAACATAAACAAGATGAGGAAAATCAGTAATTTGAAAGCAAGGTGAACTTGACTGTTGTTGAGGTTAGTAGTCACCACAGCATAAAGCATTGTGGTGTACAACCTACAAATACACTAACAACCTTAGACTAAAGCATATATGAAAGATATTTACATATAGTAAGGCTAGCGTTTTATAACCAGTAACCTGGTATTTGTGATTTTAAAAACTAAGTAGCAGGGCTGTGAGAGAGAATCACAAACTTTGTCAAAAACGTCTCATTTTTAAAGGTCATATCATTCTTGACCTCTACCTCAGAGGGAGCATGTACAATTTGAACACATATATGCAACAATAAGGATGGATATAATTTCCCTGTATACCCTTCCATAAACTTCATCATCATCACCAGTTATTTGCCTTTTTTAACACAAGATAAATTTACAGCATCATTTTTATATGGTGAGGAGACCACAAGACACCACTTGGTTTACTGGCTCCAAGATGACCTTGAACATGTTTTTGCACTCATCAGAACTACAATGTTTTTGCCACTCAACAGAGCCTCAATGAGTATGAAAATAATTATGACTGTCCAAACTTTGTAACCCTGCCTTTCAAGCTTGATTATGAATGTTATTTCACTGATGTAAGTCAGGCCTATGTTAATAAGTCCAAAGATAACATGACTGATAAAAACTACTCTCACTCACCTAAATGATGTACAGCCTTCATATGATTGATCAGCTGATCTTTTTCCACAAACATCACTGCACACAAACGACACTGACGCAGTCCAACTAGATTACCAACTTGAATCAATGGTGATTCATTCACGTAATCCTCCATACTTTGAAAGTTTTTTGCTCCTTTCCGTTTTCTCTTTCTTGTAACAGTCTTGATGACTTCTTCATGAGCTGAATTTTTATTTGACTGCACAGGTATCTTTTGCCCTGATAGTCTGATATGATCAGGGTCAACCCACTCTTCTTCATAAGCCACCTTCTTAGATTTTAAACTTCTTATGCGTGCACTGATTCTCTCACGTGGTGGTGTAGAACTCTTAACACTGTTCACCTCATGCTGCACAGATTCTGTAATATTACTTTTTGCCTTAGAGTCACTGCTTTGTCTGTCCATGTCCTTTTCTAATGTATAATTGCCAGTTCCATTCGAAGTAGTTATGATGCTTTCTTGCTTTCTTCTGTGGGACAAAACATTTTGTAGACTCAATGCAGTGTCTACATCCATGTACATTTTCTTCAGTATTAAAACAATGAACTCAACTTCTACTAGTCACAAGGCCCTCCCTCTGCCCCAAATACAATGTTGAAATACAGCCATATGATTGATGAATAACCCTCAAGATTGTTTAATACAGCCACAAAGGAAAGAATTGAGACTCCCAACACTTTATTCAGTGACTGCGGCTTCCTTCCCTATAGAACTACCAAAGGGTAGCACTGAGCTAGCAAGGACTTATCAAAGAATGGAGCTGTTAGCAAAAACAAAGACATGTGAATGAACATCTCCACAATCTAGTGAAAAAGCTCACCTCTTGGTTTTAAGATCAGAGTCTTCAACATCCTACAAGACCATCACAGAGGCATTCAATTAACTTCAGTGTAAATTTCTCAAAGGATTTTGCATTCAAGAAAATAAAGTTTGCAGCTATTTATTACAAACTGCTCACAAAAAAGAAGAGATTTGAAAAACATGCATACAAATTGACACTCAAGGGCATAGAATTTTCATAGAGAACTTGTGCACAATGTATACTTGTCCTCGAGTGAACTCCTCCAACAAATAGCAATTCATTCATTGCATATTTGAGGAGAAACAGAATGAAAGACATTCAGTAGATACTTCAATACTTTTGTATTTGTACTTACAGATACACTCACCAATTCTTGTGGGTTTTTTATATCACAGTGTTCAGACAATTTCTGAATAATATTTTGAAGTTTAAGCCTGGAAATAAAACCAAAAGATAATTATTAATTCTTAGTAAAGAATTGTAGAAAACCCTCATTTTCAGGTTTTGTTTTCTCACTTTACCAAGAGCAAGTTTGGTTTTACAATTCATGGATGGATGTCTTTGAATCATGTGTATCGAGTGTACACATTGCACAGTGCCAAAGTTTTCTTCCAATATCTACTATAAGTGAACCTGTATACCCCAGACACCTCTGTTGAATGAACATACTGACACACCAAAATAAGGCATATTATTGCACTCCCTTCACTCTCTGAACCCTAAGAACAGGCTCTTTTATTAGAGAGGAGTCTTCTGAACACAAGTGCAACTGTTCAATATTCTTTTCAGCCATCAAATAAACAGTTGCCTTAAAACAAAACCTTTTATGAAAATGAGAGTAAGATGGAATGTTGTGATAATTTCTATTAGCCACTGTAAAAATTTAAAGAGGCCAGAAGGCAAAATCAGGGGTTTAAATCTAGCAATTTTTTTAAAGACTGCTTTGAGGTTCTTTGTGTATAATTTCAAGATTTGATAAAAGAAAAAAAAATGCCATCGCATATTTGAAAAGGGCAGCTCTCGTTTTTAACAATTCTGCATAATGCCTGAAATCAGCCAAATCTGTCTTTAATAACGGAATGAAATAAGACTAATGACATTAAACATCACGTGAAGAACGTCTTACAGGTATAATACAGCTGACTGTCTTGTCAGAGGGTTAACTCGTCCATTTTCAAAGACGTTATCTACTATTTACTACGAGCTGGCGGATTTGAAACAAATTTCTGAGTAACACTTATACAAACTAAGGTTTATAAATACTTTGTAATTATTCTTGTACAAAAATTATACAGTATTGCTCAACTTCACACATGCAGACTTAATGTAAGTGGTAAAATACGCGAGGATTAAATAAAAAACAGACGAAATTCTCTACGACCTTTCGAGAGATATACTTACCCTCGATGATCAGTAGAACTTTGATGTGTCTCTTCCATGCTGCTGTACATACGATAAGTTATAAACAACAAAAACCTCAATTTTGTAACAAAAACATTGATACGCTCACTTGAGAGACTCACTTGACAAACCCCTTTCACACAAATACTATCCCAGACTTCATAGCGAGTTCAGGCACATCGCCCGGCCCAGTCTTTTTTTCTTCTCAGTCAACCCATTTCTTTTTTGTATACACTGTAATAGTCTAGTACATATGATTAGGAAATAGAGGGGAAAGATAAGGAAACATGCCTTACTTAACCGCTCTTGGAAAACCGAAGTTGCAAGAATTTAAAGATAATTTTTCCAAAAAAAGGGCCGTTCTTCTTTAGTCTACGTGCAAGCTCCCTCAAAGCAAAGCACTTACCATCCTCTCTTTTCCTTGACCTCTCTATCGCAAATCCTACATGGTGTGGATCAAGCCTAATGTTGCACGCACGAATTACTCTTTCTCTAGTAAAATGCGCCTCGTGACTCAGACAGTCTCTCCAGTCTCTTCTTGTTTATTATACTGAAGCAGACAAATGCGAAAGGAGTAGGAAAAGCAACCTACCTCTTTTTGCAGAAAAAAAAATGCCGATTCTAAGTTTTCTCACGAGTTTCTTCTCGCATCGATAATCGTAGATAAGAGAAAAACATTACAGTCGTTTTATTTTCTCATCAAGAATTGAAATCCACACTCATGGAATCATAAATTCGTAACCGTTACGTTAAGTATTTTCAAGTGTACTATGAGGTAACGTCTGAGGGGTATGAATGGCCACCAGCAACCTGTCAAGGATACTCGGCGAATTGAGGGGGAGGGGAGGGGAGGTGGGAGGTCAGGAGTAGTCTGCGATTGACTAACATCCCCCCGCGATTGAGGAGGAGTAACAGTACTGCTGATCGTTTTGTGTCATAGAAACCAAAATATGCCGGCCGGCTGACGACCCACTTGCTTAGACTTGATCTCTTTTCTAACTATGCATACAAATTATTTATTGGACATGTTTTATTTTTGTTTTCACGTTCTCTAATTCTCTGCGCCATTACAGACTTTAACATGGAATTGAACTGCAGCAGACGATAGTTCTTAGTACTCATCCCCTTCATCATCTTCGCCTTCTCCCGCAGCAGATTCCACGCCAACCTCTTCATAATCCTTTTCCAATGCTGCCAAATCTTCACGAGCCTCAGAGAACTCTCCTTCCTCCATACCCTCACCCACATACCAGTGGACAAACGCACGCTTTGCATACATCAGATCAAACTTGTGATCCAGACGGGCCCAGGCCTCGGCAATAGCTGTGGTGTTACTCAACATACATACAGCGCGTTGAACTTTGGCCAAATCACCACCAGGAACAACTGTGGGAGGCTGGTAGTTTATTCCAACCTATAACAGAAAACTTGTTAAGCTAAGAGACGGAGCGCAGCTGTTTGTACAACTCAAATAGTTTATACTTGCACCAGCATTCAGTACACTACGTATCATTCTCTGAGGACATCTACTTGGAACAAACCTTGAATCCAGTTGGACACCAGTCTACAAACTGAATGGTTCTCTTCGTCTTGATTGTTGCAATGGCCGCATTCACATCCTTGGGCACCACATCACCACGGAATAAAAGACAGCAGGCCATGTATTTGCCGTGACGTGGGTCACACTTTACCATCTGATTGGCTGGCTCAAAGCACATATTTGTGATCTCAGCAACTGTCAACTGCTCATGATAGGCTTTCTCTGCTGAGATCACTGGAGCATAAGTGGCCAGAGGGAAGTGAATACGAGGGTATGGTACCAAGTTGGTCTAGATAAGACAACATGATAGATATAAAAATGATTTGACACCTGTGACAGAAGTGATACCCATTTTATATCACCACCTTATGGTCAAGATAAGGAAAGCTGAGATTCAGATACAGCTTACCTGAAACTCTGTCAAGTCCACATTCAAGGCACCGTCAAAACGGAGTGATGCAGTGATGGACGACACAATCTGACCAATCAGTCTGTTCAGGTTGGTGTAAGTGGGTCTCTCAATGTCCAGGTTACGACGGCAGATGTCATAGATGGCCTCATTGTCCACCATGAAGGCACAGTCAGAGTGCTCCAGAGTGGTGTGAGTTGTCAGAATGGAGTTGTAAGGCTCCACAACCGCCGTAGAGACCTGCGGAGCTGGGTAAATAGAGAACTCCAGCTTGGATTTCTTGCCATAGTCCACAGACAGACGCTCCATAAGCAATGATGTGAATCCAGAGCCAGTTCCACCACCAAAGGAATGGAAAATAAGGAAACCTTGCAAGCCAGTGCACTGATCAGCCTAGACCAAGAAAATCAAAAGTTTAACTAGTTTGGCTAAAGTTATTCAGTCAACTTGGACAAGCTGCTGAATTTGTTGACTTTATAAACTTGCCGGTGTTTATCATTATTATAATCATTATTGTCATCATTATTGATAATATCGTTATCACACGACAAAAAAAGACCAATTATCATTTTTCTCCTCAAAATGCAGTAACTGCTGATATTAGCTACTTCTCAGCACCGTTTTGCATAAATCGAAAATAAACGCTTATATTTTGGCTCATTAGGACAAAGCCGGTTCATTATTTGTGTGGTGTATCCTGTAGGTAGCACGATCTCTAATTGTGCTATCTGATTTCTGCTTTTAAGCACAGTCTGCCACAACAGCATTAAGTCATATGCGAGCGTTCTTACCAACTTTCTCAGCTTGTCCAAAACGAGATCAATCATTTCTTTGCCAACAGTGTAGTGTCCGCGGGCATAGTTATTAGCGGCATCCTCTTTGCCGGTGATCAACTGTTCTGGGTGAAACAGCTGTCGGTAAGTGCCAGTGCGAACTTCATCTAAAAAACAGAAAAATAATGCTATATAATTACAACAATAATGTTTTTTGTTTTTAGTATTTGTGTATTTTACGTTATGCCTCAGCTCGAGTCAGTCAGGTGCATTATTCAGATCTAGCCAAGGAAGATTAAACAGATTTCATACCAATATTGCTTATCAACAGAACTGTAATGTTTTGGTTGAGCTAGATAATTAATCATTAATGAGATTGTAAGAAAAAAACTCAAAGGAAACAGGCAACGCCAAACTTTGACAATTTTCATTCGCTCTTTAAAACTTTAATTCAAAGAGTGATATAAAAGGAAAATTCCAAACGCCTCTCACCGACAACAGTTGGTTCCAAATCAACAAAGACGGCGCGAGGAACGTGTTTTCCTGCTCCAGTCTCGCTGAAAAATGTGTTGAAGGAATCATCTCCTCCACCGATTGTCTTGTCACTGGGCATTTGACCATCAGGCTGGATTCCATGCTCCAAGCAGTACAACTCCCAACAAGCGTTACCGATCTGAACTCCGGCCTGACCAACGTGGACAGAAATACACTCACGCTGAAATGGAAGGAAAAACGGGAGCGCTTAAATTTTCATATTGCGCAAAATATGGAAATGATTCCGAAAAGATTTCTTCGCAATATCAGAGTTGAATGATCAGAAGCGTTTGCCTGTAATTATTCCAAACCCGGTACAAAAGATCGCATTTGGAAAAAAAAAATAGTATTACCATTTTAAAATAACGTTATTTGGGGATCTTGTCCAAAAATTAGCGAGGGAAAACTTTGGTGAGTTTCCGAGCTCCGAAATAGCAGCAACGTCTTTCGAAGACGGGAGTGGTTTGAACATAATCAATGAAGCAAGGCTATTGTATTCCTTTGCATGGCAGGTGACGGGGAAACTAAGTGGTTTTAGTTTATATGGTGACGAAAATTAACATAAAATCAAAAAGATTGAAAAGATAAATCAGCTGGAGACTTATGTCGGCACAAATAATATTTTATTTATGTTATCTGATTGGCTCAGGGTGAAAAATTTCATGTTAATTGTGGTCCCCAAAGTAAGCCGCCGTGTGATGCTGTTTCTATTGAGTAACAATGTGATTTTCCATTCATGAAAATTTCATTTAGCGCCGGTTTTGTTTTAGCAACCTAAAAGAAAATGCTCTGGGCATTTTCAGATTGAAACCTTCGAGGGAGAAAAGAATATGGATTGCTCTTGCATACAGCCAGAAAGATTCTCTTAAGAAATCTGTCAATTTGTGCTCAGCATATGAAAACTATCTGCCTGCATATATTCAAATTTTTTTAATGAATTATAATGAATGTAACTAGACCTCCATCTGCCATTGTTTGGGAGTTCCGGCATAAAATTGAGAATGTTTTTTGCGATATGGTGATTTGTCGTGGTTGGATCTAAGTTGAACACAGGCTACCATTTTCACTACAAATATGAACTCAAATTCTCTTTCTCTGATTAGATTACAATGTGACCCAAATAGTGCCTAAAACAAGAATAGATAAGTAAATACTATGAATACAGTTTCACATTTTAAACGTGAATAGATTTTTGTACACCCTTGTTGGTAAGTGTATCATGCTGAAATATGTATTTAACAGATTTACTGTCCTTTTTGCGTAATAATTGTCGCAAAGGTGATGCATGTTACAAATTATTACCAAGGGCGGGGCTAAGCTTGGAGGAGTCAAGGGGGCGGGGCTGAGGGTGGACGAATGAAGGGGAACGGGGCCCTTTTCACTTTTCTTGTTTTTAACTCGAAACTAAGTTTCCTTCGAGAAAAATATCAATGTTTTGTGAAACAATGAACAATTAGTGCGTTTTTTTTTAATAAAATTTTTCTGTTCGTCTTAGTTTCGGGATACGCTGCCGATAACAAAACCAAACAACACGCGCCATTTGTAAGTGCATCGACTTACTTTCGTGTAGACCAGCTCAAGGTATTTTTAAATAATTCACCCGTTTTTTTTATTTATAACGAAAGCACATATTACATTTGCTTTGATGGCAAATGACGTCTGAAGGATTTTTTTCCCTCTCCGTGTCTCTTTTGATCAGTGGTAACAAACGAACAAGGATTGCAGTCTTACGCTCTTTTATCACATTTTTAATCTGTATGCCACATTACAAGTTGGTTAAACTGTAGTATTTTGCGACTAAGCTTCCTATAGCAGTGAGTGGGAGATGGTCAGGGTTAGTAAGTCAGGGATCGATACAACTGCCAGCCGCTTGCATTCTAATCTTGGACTCAAATGAAGAGGCGTAGCGTTTAATTCATTATCGCAAAAAGTGGTAATTTATTAACATATCACACCTTCACTAACAACATATGTATATACTTCTCAAACTTCAGGACTTTCCTAAGATCACCCCAGTGACTGTCATACTCATTTCAAAATCGCACCTTCCTAAGGAATATAACAAGTTGATAAAATAAAAGAATTTTCTAGAATAAATACAATCCGTCATCAAATGGGATTAAATATCTTGGCACCATTTTGGAACGAAGCCTCTAGGATTGGGAGTAGATTTCGTTCAAAACCGTGAGTCTCGTTTAGCAACAGGATGCCAATCAAGGTTACTTTCCTTCGACAACACTTCCCCTGTTCCTCCCCTCCCCCACACACACCCGAGCCAGTAGATGAAGATTTTTAATACTCATCATCTTCCCCTTCCCCTTCGTCTTCAGCCGAATCCACTCCAACCTCTTCATAATCCTTTTCCAATGCCGCCAAATCTTCACGAGCCTCAGAAAACTCTCCTTCCTCCATACCCTCACCCACATACCAGTGGACAAACGCACGCTTTGCGTACATCAGATCAAACTTATGATCCAGACGGGCCCAGGCCTCAGCAATAGCTGTGGTGTTACTCAACATACACACAGCACGTTGAACTCGGGCCAGATCACCTCCAGGAACAGCAGTGGGGGGCTGGTAATTGATTCCAACCTGAAAATTAAATGAGGTAAAATAGCAATCAATAATTAAATTAATGAAAGCCCGGAATCTCTCATCTAATTTGTTATAATCCATTGGAATTTTCTACGCCGAGAGAGAAAGGCTAAACTCTAATTGCATTGATCAATTTCAAAGTTAATTCTGTTTTCTTGGAGGTTTTTAAAACTGAAAACTAAAAGTCTGGTTCTATCAATCTCTTGCCGACCTGTAAAACGACTAAGATATTCTAAGCATTTAACCATAGGGTTTTTAGTTGTTGATCAAAGCCGGGCTTTTTCAAGCACCCTACCGCAAGATCAGATTACGTAGACAATATTTCTTTTTAGTTCCGATAATCATCAAGAAGAGGGGGAGACTACTGCTCCTACACTTACAACCTGTGAAAACATCTCAATTTAAAATACTTAAGGCGAACATTTTCGACACTCATATAATTTTAATTGAAACAGACTGCTCCGCTCCTCAAGAGTTATCCACCCACCTTAAATCCAGTAGGACACCAATCTACAAACTGAATGGTTCTCTTGGTCTTGATTGTTGCAATGGCTGCATTCACATCCTTTGGAACCACATCACCACGGAATAAAAGACAACAGGCCATATATTTACCATGACGTGGGTCACATTTCACCATCTGATTGGCTGGTTCAAAGCAGGCATTGGTGATTTCAGCAACACTCAGCTGTTCATGATAAGCTTTCTCTGCTGAGATCACTGGAGCATAAGTGGCCAGAGGGAAGTGAATACGAGGGTATGGCACCAAGTTAGTCTAAATGAAATAACATGAAGGATGTTTTAAACAGCAAAAACCAACAGGAATCATATACATTATGTACTGGATGCAGGAATGTCAAGATTCAAATATACCTTACCTGAAATTCTGTCAAGTCAACATTCAAGGCACCATCAAAACGGAGTGATGCAGTGATGGACGACACAATCTGACCAATCAGTCTGTTCAGGTTGGTGTAAGTGGGTCTCTCAATGTCCAGGTTACGACGGCAGATGTCATAGATGGCCTCATTGTCCACCATAAAGGCACAGTCAGAGTGCTCCAGAGTGGTGTGAGTTGTCAGAATGGAGTTGTAAGGCTCCACAACAGCTGTGGCAATCTGTGGTGCAGGGTAAATAGAGAACTCCAGCTTGGATTTCTTGCCATAGTCCACAGACAGACGCTCCATGAGCAATGATGTGAATCCAGAGCCAGTTCCACCACCAAAAGAGTGGAAGATAAGAAAACCTTGCAATCCAGTGCACTGATCAGCCTTGATAAAAATCAATGTAAAAAATCGTATCCCAAAAAATATTACTGATAATAATGGTTTATAATAATGACTTATTACAAATCAGCGTCACTAACTTAATTCTGATATAACTTTCTTTCTGGTTTACAGTTATTTCCACCTCAGCCTTTCAGCTTGAAAGATAACAAAGAAGTTCGGCTTAGGTAACATACGTTATCAGGCGAAACCAAATCTAATAGTTGATAATTACCAGTTTTCTTATCTTATCAAGAACTTGATCGATAATGCTTTTCCCAACAGTGTAGTGCCCACGGGCATAGTTGTTAGCAGCGTCTTCTTTGCCGGTCATTAACTGATCCGGGTGAAAAAGTTGTCTGTAGGTACCACAGCGAACTTCATCTGATGAAAATCGAAGGAGATACTATTTGTTTATAGAACATAAAAACAGGCAACTGTAACTGCAAGTGAATAAAAGGGGTAAGTTTCTGTAGAAACTGTGGTGCTGCGTCAGTAGGAAAGTATAACAGGGTAATTTAGTATTATCAACTGAGCTGATAACGTAAATTGGCCACCGTAAAGAGTTTAAAACCTGATGTTTCGAGCGTTAGCCCTTTGTCAGAACGATTGTCATAGCCCTTCGTCTATCGCTCTCACGAAGGGCCAACTGTAACTGCAATTGTAGCGCTTTATGGGATGTGGCGGTGTTCTCAAAAGATAAATTGGTAAAATAGCCCAACTTGGTTCATACTTGTATCATCCTGTACCATAATCTCACCAGTTTTATGATTCCATCATATCATAACGTTCATGACTGCAACATACCGAGAGGCTACTAAAGTTGTATCTCTTTACATTTTTCTTACTAGAACCCACAAGCCTCCATATGTCCATTAAAAGTTTCTTCGCTCTAGTTAACTCACCGACGACGGTTGGTTCCAAATCAACAAAGACGGCGCGAGGAACGTGTTTTCCTGCTCCAGTCTCGCTGAAAAATGTGTTGAAAGAATCATCTCCTCCACCGATTGTTTTGTCGCTGGGCATCTGGCCATCAGGCTGGATTCCATGCTCCAAGCAGTACAACTCCCAACAAGCGTTACCAATCTGAACTCCGGCTTGGCCAACGTGCACAGAAATACACTCGCGCTGAATGAGAATGAAAGATGAAAACTATAAAAAGGATTCGTTCGGAAGACCAAACAAAGTTTTAAAGTGAAGGAATTTTTACGCGATTTTCTGAAAACTGTGTAAACCACACTGTAAAGTGACTGCCAGGATATGCAGCCGTTTTGTAACCATCAATCGCGAACTGGATTCGGCAAGACCGCCATACTGGCGGCGTTCTAAAATATCTCCGCTTTTTTCATAGGAGTAAACGTCCTTTTGCCGAGAAACCCCATAAAAACTAGCTGATTGAGACTCTTACCATTTTCAGCTGAAAAAAGTTGTTTGGATGAAAATAATGTGTCTCAAATCAAAAATTTTGACTTATATCCCTATCGAAAAGTAGTAACGGTGCTTCTCGAACAAGGTTCACAGTAGTAGTGTTTTGCCAGTTTCAGTGAATCTTATTTTGCCTAAAAACTGCGGGAAACTACAGGTTAATGCTGGTGCGGTGCTCCGCGAAATGTAAACCCCGGCAGGTTCAAGTTTTGGTTCACCTTACTACAACTCACTGCTTTGAGCAAAAACAAGTCTCGTTACCAAGATGAGGCGACGCCTTCCACTAAACATAGAGCAACATTTGAGAGACCAACCAGAAGCGTTCAAGACGAGGGCTCGCCTTAAAAAAAAATGGCTTATATGCTATAATCATAAAAGTCGTGATAACATGTACCATTACACCAAATGAGAGAAAAACAAACCACAACCTGTAAAATGCCTAGATAAAAAGTAACGCGATTTATCAAAATTATGCGGCAAATGAAATTGGCAGGGTTTGTCATGAAAAAGTATTCTCATCCCGATAGTCTTTACTATTGAGACGAGAGCTGAAGCAGGGAGAGCGAGAAAAAGAATTAGGGGAACTGGAGCCTTTGCTATCCGCGCGCAAGCCTCTATCCGTGGGAAGAGCCTGGCAAAAGTTGCCATCAAAACTGTTGTCGAATTAAAATCGTTTTTCTTTTTCTCTTTCTTTCAATCTCGGAAGATTTTAAAATAAACCCCTCTCGAACGAGACGATAAGCATAATCGAGTATGCTTGGAGCTTTCACGGCTAAGCAGTTGTAAGCAGTTATAATTCCCCGAGAGGATCTGGGTACTAGACTAGGCACAGCCTTTTGTACTCCCTCACGAGTACAAAAGTAAAATTTACATAACGATGACTACAATGTCTGTTGCTTGTGAATATTACACTGAAACGCTACTCAAATACTTGATGTAAAAAGAAAATTGCAAAGGAGAGAAAACCAAGTTTGCTTCAGGCAATCGATGAGGAAAACAAGCGAAAAAACAAAGGGAGCGAAAGGAAAAAACGATGGGAGACTGCTAAGAGAGAGCGAATATAGCTGCCTCTTCGCTCATTCCAGCTTATTTCCGCTAACCAGCTCTTTCTCCTGTATCCAGTGAAATAAATTATGGTATCGGCCAGAGACTAAAGAGAAAATATCTCTGCTTTCTTGTGCATAAAGTCTCGTCGTCCCGTATGACCGAGTCACCATCTTTGATATATTCTGAACAGAGGGCAAACTACTCTCCCTTGGAGGGAGAAGGTTGTAAAAAAACTTTACGTCACCTCCCTGGATGCTTTTCACATGTCAAGTGGTTAACCTGTTTCCAAGCAACAAGCGGGTGTGGTTTTACTAAATGAACATAATTTATGCACTGACCAAACACACCCCAAACAACGATAAACAATATCTCTTGAAGACAAACTGCGTGTTCTAGCAGGGGAGGGTATAGGTAAGAAGCAATCTCGATCAAAAGTTTCTCTTCAACGCATCGGTACTCTACTTAACGTTGGATCATTATTTCAATTCGCTCATAAGCTGATTTATTTGACATTCAAGCCTCTATGATTCAGAATTTTTGAGGAGTTTCGTAGACTTGCCTTAAGCCCTCCCGTTACTAGCGACAATCAAATCCGAAAGTGCATTGAGCAAATTTATGCATTATTCATTGTGTCACTAACCCACAACACGTGGTTGCTACGAAGAGCGCCCTTATAAACGCGCCTAAACTTGAGGTTGCATTAATTTCAACGGTCGCACTGTCTTTCGTCGAAGCCGTCGCATTTCGATATAAGACTCTTTCGTCCGATATTTTGAACAGAGAAATTTTTCTACAGTTCATTTTGCTATAATTCTGCATCAACATGGTAAGCAAATTGTCCTTCTTAGTTCTAGAGTCCCGCAAATCTTAATATTTGAAAGTAAAATTTGTGCCTTTCCGTCGAGGAAATTTAGCTGGGATCAGCAAAAATTACCCTTCAAGCTGCAACGAAAGGGAATTCGTTTGTTTTATTATCATGTTACAATTCCAGAAACCGATCTTTGATTTATACCCATAGTTAAGGAACATTCGTGTTGCGAAATATCGAAATTTGTTTCCTTCCATTTCAGCGTGAGTGTATTTCTGTCCACGTTGGCCAAGCCGGAGTTCAGATTGGTAATGCTTGTTGGGAGTTGTACTGCTTGGAGCATGGAATTCAGCCTGATGGTCAAATGCCCAGTGACAAGACAATCGGTGGAGGAGATGATTCCTTCAACACATTTTTCAGCGAGACTGGAGCAGGAAAACACGTTCCTCGCGCCGTCTTTGTTGATTTGGAACCAACTGTCGTTGGTAAGTTAACGAGGACCAGTTCATTTCTTCATTAGAGCACTTAAGTGCTTTCAGATTAGTACTAGCAGGATTCTATATGAATTTTTATCGATAGCAGTTAAACACTAGGCTTTTGATCCTTAGAAATTTTTTAATTCTGCTTTCGTTCTATATGTCGCGAGAAAGAAGACTCCTTTGTGCTACTGCATTTTAATAATTAACAATCTCATTTGTACTTTGTGCTCGTTGAAGTATTAAAAAACCTACCGATTCTCGAACATTTGGTTCAACACGAAACTCATAGTTCTACTTTTTAGCACTTTTCTCTCAAACCATCGATTTTTGGGAGATAACTCGTACGATCGGTTGACTTCAGTTGTTTGGTAACCTGCATAGCAACTGCCCCTTGACTACTGTAAACACAACGCAACTAACATTAGAATTTTCGCTGTTACGCACAGACTTGACCTTACTGAAACCGTCATATTTTCGAATTGTGAAGCTGATTTTCTTAACTTGATGAATTCTCACCCTCAAAATTTTTTTTCTGACAGATGAAGTTCGTACTGGCACCTACAGGCAATTGTTCCACCCAGAACAGTTGATCACTGGTAAAGAAGATGCTGCAAATAACTATGCTCGTGGGCACTACACTGTTGGAAAAGAAATGATTGATCTTGTTCTGGACAGGATCAGGAAATTGGTTAGTATTGTGCTGGTGGTGTATTTATTTTAAGTTGTTTTTCCACGAATGGTTAATGATAGTCTAATTTTTAATGTTCTGTTCATAGGCTGATCAGTGCACTGGATTGCAAGGTTTTCTTATCTTCCACTCTTTTGGTGGTGGTACTGGCTCTGGATTCACATCATTGCTCATGGAGCGTCTGTCTGTGGACTATGGCAAGAAATCCAAGCTGGAGTTCTCTATTTACCCTGCACCACAGATTGCCACAGCTGTTGTGGAGCCTTACAACTCCATTCTGACAACACACACCACTCTGGAGCACTCTGACTGTGCCTTTATGGTGGACAATGAGGCCATCTATGACATCTGCCGTCGTAACCTGGACATTGAGAGACCCACTTACACCAACCTGAACAGACTGATTGGTCAGATTGTGTCGTCCATCACTGCATCACTCCGTTTTGATGGTGCCTTGAATGTTGACTTGACAGAATTTCAGGTAAGGTATATTTGAATCTTGACATTCCTGCCTCCAGTACATAATGAATATGATTCCTGTTGGTTTTTGTTATGTTTATAACATCCTTCTTGTTATTTCATTTAGACCAACTTGGTGCCATACCCTCGTATTCACTTCCCTCTGGCCACTTATGCTCCAGTGATCTCAGCAGAGAAAGCTTATCATGAACAGTTGAGTGTTGCTGAAATCACCAATGCCTGCTTTGAACCAGCCAATCAGATGGTGAAATGTGACCCACGTCATGGTAAATATATGGCCTGTTGTTTGTTGTACCGTGGTGATGTGGTTCCAAAGGATGTGAATGCAGCCATTGCAACAATCAAGACCAAGAGAACCATTCAGTTTGTTGATTGGTGTCCAACTGGATTTAAGGTTAGTGATTAAGCTGTATATATATATATTTTTTTTTTTTCTCTCTTTGATTAAAGGCCCTTTGTAATTTAGAGAATGATGAGCAATGTATTGTTACTTTACCAAATCTAAAGTTTGTTAATTAACAAATGTATTTGTCATGTACGGTAGGTTGGAATCAACTACCAGCCTCCCACAGTTGTTCCTGGTGGTGACTTGGCCAAAGTACAACGCGCTGTGTGTATGTTGAGTAACACCACAGCTATTGCTGAGGCCTGGGCCCGTCTGGATCACAAGTTTGATCTGATGTATGCAAAGCGTGCATTTGTCCACTGGTATGTGGGTGAGGGTATGGAAGAAGGAGAGTTCTCTGAGGCTCGTGAAGATTTGGCAGCATTGGAAAAGGATTATGAAGAGGTTGGAGTGGATTCAGTTGATGCTGAAGGTGAGGAAGAAGGGGAGGAATATTAGACAAAACAAGACCACCCTGGAAGAAAATTCATGCTGCTGTGTTTTGAGATTGAGTTCTGTGATATTGTGTTGTAAGATTGAGGAATAAATGTTTGTTTCATGACTCTAGTGAATAGTGGTTTTTATGAATTTGTGTTGCTTGTGACAGCTTATCATGAAATTTCCTTGGAACAACAACATTTGTAGGTTCCTAATAACAGTTTTGGCCGAGAATTCTCATTTACTAAATATGACAAAAGGAAATGATAATACAATTTGTTTTTCTAGAGATTAATTAAACCCTGTGCCAGTGGGAACTATGAACAACCTTACTTTCTAAACTTTGACCATAATGACTTCCCCCACCCTATTTCCTAGATTTCCCCATGAAATACCAGTTAAGTTCCTCGGTGGAATAGGATGTTTTATTAAATTTTAGGTTTGGGAATGAGTTACCTAGTTATTGAGCAGGCCCTGATTTAGGCCGCTATCCTTCTAGACAAAAATCGGTAATGAATATTACCTTTCAAAGAGCCGCAACACCGTATTAGAAGTCTGGCGATTCCGGTTTACAGATTGTACCATTTTTAGCTGAAGGAGTGCCTTCCATGTACGAAGCTTGGACAGTCTTGTGGAAAAAACAACCTTTCCAGAAATCTATGAGAAAAATATCTAGGTAAACGCATAATTTCAACCGGTTTGTGGTTCCAATATAAAAAAGTAAAAACTTTGTCCCCTCCCCCACAGGTGCTGCGATAAAATTA